TGAGGTAATAATCAACTCCTGCTTGATTGTATGTATTTGGAGTACCATTGGTAAATATTCTCGACCAAGAAACTGAAAATCGATAGAATTGCACACCCAGGTTTTTCAAAATAGCCACATCCTCCTTGTACTTGTGATAAGAGTCAGAGGCAATGTCTCCGTTGGAGTCGTTCTTTATATTTCCTATAAAGATAGAAATACTACAGCTAGTCTTAAGGAGCGCTCGCGTAAAAAAAGCAGGGACGAATAAACAAACCAAAAATATTAATAACACACGTAGTTTACTTATTTTGTCATTCAGCATTACCTGGGATATGAGAGAAAGTGTCCCACATGCTGGGTCCCCGACCATCTTCATTATATCCGCCTTCGATCTGGTAGGAAGCACCAGCTGTTCCAAACTTGAAGTTTCCTGGAAACTCTCTTTGCGCGATTGCCCTATAAAACACAATGTACTCGTATTAAAATTGTTTTCTCCACAATAAGCCGTAAACTAAGATTGCACATCAGGCAAAGGCACAGTAGATTTAGACCAAGTAACTTACCCGTTTAGAATAAAGATGAGGCAGATTACAATGGGGGCACTCATTTTCATGCGCAACTACCACTCGATGCTTACTAAATGAATAATGTGAATGCAAAATGTAATCATGATATTTTATCAATCGTCGAAATTTTTCGAGTGTTTTTTCAATTGTAATTTTGGCTACAGATATGGAAGTTGGTCCTGCTCAGATTTGATTGCGTTAAAGTCGCTTCATATGCATTAAATATTAGGGAACTAAAAACCAAAGTCGTCTTCGTGGATCAGAAAATAAATTTCGAATAGTTGAGAAGAAATAAAAAGCATTGATCAATTATTACTTAAAATATTAATTAAAATTTCAGGAATGACTAGATAGAACAATCATCTGCTAGAAAAAACAAAAACTTCGAAATAGAAAAGCAGCTGGATGAGAAGTGAGTAAATGTAGTGTTTCTTTGTAAAGAGAAACTGCGTTTTTATCTTCGCAGTTCAACCCGGCGATTTCAAATCTTATGAAATTGAACATTTTTCTGATTTAATGATCAATCAGACATAAATAGCAACTGATGTAGGTAATGTTCGTGTAAAATGCAAGCAGTTATGGAATAAAAGTTGGAATGCAAATGTTGGGTCATGAAGACATTAGTCCAGACGATAAGAAAATAAAAATATTGTTTACATGGAAAGTATTTAATAGTTAATTAACTTTATTATTTAGTCAACAATGGCTCTGGCCGCAACCACGCGCTTGTACCATTCGGCTGACGCCTTGTATGTTCTGGTTCTCTCGGGACTTTCAAAATCTACTTGGACAATTCCAAATCGTTGCCTGAAAATTATTATATAATGAAACCGATATAAGGAAACTTTGCAATTTTTTTATTACGTGTATCCTTCGGCCCATTCGAAGTTATCTAACAAACTCCACAGTGTGTATCCGGTTACGTTAATTCTATCATCCAGGATGGCATCTAGGATGTTGCTCAAATAGCCCTGAATGACCAAGTCTATAATTTTGAAACAAATTCCCACTTAACTTACGCTGAGATATTCGATTCTGGATTGATCGTCCAATTCTCCTGGAAGCGTAGACCATCCATTTTCAGTGATTATAAACTCCCCAGGATTATACTTCTTGTTGAGATAGTTGAGTAGATATCTGACTCCCGGCGGGTCAGAAGTTAACCAAGAAGAGGCACTTGTGGGCCATGAAGGATCTCCAGAAGTTATGGTTCCTAAAAAATAAATTTTACATTTTAATAGCTTTTAACGAAATCGAATTTGAAAACTGGCCTATTTCAAATACCTTGATCCAGCCAGATGGATGGAGTGGTGATGGGCGAGTCATCAGCATATTCAGCAAAAGCACTAGTGTATCTACAAATATTAGATCAAAATATTTATGCTAAACTATCCAGAGTAGTGGAGTCTTACATATTCAAAGCAAAAAAGTCATAAGTTCCGTTGATATAGTCGATTTCTTCCTGAGTGAATTCCGGTAATCTAGAGAAGGAGTAACCTTCTAGTCTACTTCTGTTGGCAACTCTATCAATGACCACCTGGGGCCAATTGCCTTTAAAGACAGCGTTGGCATACAAACCAGCCTGGAATTTTCACATTTACATTAAATTTGCAGAATTCCACAGTGTCTAGTTTAATATGTCCAAAAAGTCACTCTTTTGTAGACAATTAATTCATTCATTCATTAACGGAATTTAATCTTATTGCATAAGATAGGCTTGGGTAACTCAGTGAATTTTTGGAGTTGGCGCAGTGCTGCGCAAGTGGCTTTGTGCGCCAACCCAACGCACCGGCGCAGTTCCGTTGCTGGAAAAAAATACTTAACTTGTTTTTCGATTTATTTTAAGGGCTATTTATTAAGAATGTTTTTAGTTTCGTCAAAATTTCAGAATTTTCCAGTATTAGCAAAGTTACTGTTTCTTCTAATCGCTCATTTTTCTAATGTTTTACGTAAAAATACTGACAATCTAAGGATATTTTCCTCAAAAAATTTTAAAATAAATTTTATTACAACGTTCGCCTCCTTCATCGTTTCGTTAAAAGTAGGGAAATCCTTTTCCAGCTTCAAATATAGGAGAAAAATCAACTAATTTTTTGTTAAAAAGCGAACAGAATATACTCAAAAACGCATATAACATACATAATATAACAGAAAGTTTATAAAAACTCACCCTCATACCTCTGAAGACTGTCGAGTTGGTTAAAAAACTGTGGATTTTTAGTTTTGATCGAATTTTTTTTTGCTTTATTTTATACTCAAACACGATCTATTTTATAGAGTTTCACTTAAAAAACTGACAATCTGGAGGTATTTTAGGCGAAAAATTACAGGATAAATTTATAGCTGAAGAAATTTTACCAAAACGTTTTTCAGCGTCGAACAAAAAACATCGGGATAAAAACTAAAATAAGTTTTCCAATTTTTTCCGGAAAATGATTAAGGTTTTCTGAAAAACCGATCACAAAACGAAAAGTTTTTATTTGAAAGCGCAAAAAAATCTATTATTTTCTGATGCTTGACTTCTTTTTCGACAATCATGAGGTCTTTCTTTCAGCCAAAAACGCCACAATTAATTTTGTTGGCCTCATGCATCGCTTTGCAGGAGATTTTAGAAGGGCTTTTTGAGCTTCGAATTTGGCACAAAACTAAATAATTGAATTAACTTTTTTCCCAAAATAATTAAGATTATCTTGAAGAAACAACTAGAGAGCAAAAGTTTACAAAATTCACTACCCTCATCGCTCTTAAGAATTTTCAAGTTTATTTAAAATTTCAGGTCTTTCCAGTTTTAGCAAAGTTTTTCTTGCTCAACACTCAAACACTGACAATATTCAGGTATTTTCTGTAAAAAAATATAAATTACATTCTATTGGAACACTCCCCTCTTTAACCGCGTTGTAAAGATTTTTTTAAAACCTTTGTAGCTTGGAATTTTGGACAAAACCCAAATATTTTTCTGGGTTTTTTCACAAAAATATTTTTCCAGAAAGAACAAACGAAAGTTCATAATCAATTATTTGGAAAATTCGCCAACTTCGTCGCTGTGAATAATTTAGTTATTTTAAATTCCGCTTTCTTCACTTTTAGGTCAATATTTCTAAACAAAACTCTTTCGAAACTGCGGCAAACTGAGGGTCTTTAAACCAAAAACTGGGCGTATTTATAGTTTGGTCTTCTTTTCCTTCATTTGGTGCCTTTCGAAGACCCGTTTTACCTTTGAATTTGAGTCAAAATTCAAACAAAGTTCTCCAAAAATAGTTTTCCAAAAAAAACGATCAGGGAAAGCAAAGGCATCATTTAAAACCTCATTGCTTTGAAGAATTTTAAAATTTCTTCAACATTTCCGGTTTTTCTCGTTTTAGACCAAAGAACAGAAATTTTTAAGCAATCGTCGTGACAGAAAAGGTACTCAGTGAATTTTTACGTGTTGGAGCAGTGCTGCGCAAATGGCTTGGTACTCAGTAACTCAGTTCCGTTGCTGGAAAAACGATACTCAGAATGTTAAAACCCCAGTCTAGGGTTTCGTAAAGCTTTAATCCGCTTTAATAAATGAGTTATGACTCATTCATCGATGAGTTATAACCCATTAACTCAGAGAGCGGCAATAACTCAAAAGCGCAAAAGATTTATTTGAAAATATTCGGCATAATGAAACCTATTTACGAACCCAAGACCGTGAATTTCTGTTTTGTGAAGTTTATAGAATATTGCTTACGTTAAACTCATAGGTTCTCTCCACAGCTTCCAGATCTAGAAGACTTTCGCTATCTTTTGGGTAGAAGTTGGAAACCGCACTGTTAATCGTCACTTTTCCTATAAAACATACCAAATTACATGAAGTTGTCTCGTAACGCAAACTAGAGTTCACCTCCTTGTTCAGCTTTAAATTCTTCATCGTAAATTCTGTAGGCTTTGGCGTGCGCTCTAAGGTTGTTGTAGGCACATGTATAGATGCCATCTCCGATCAAACTTTTGCCTGGAGCGTGAACACCCTAAATATAGAGGTGGCTTGATATAGATTGAGTAATTTGATTAGTAACAACAGCAGTAGTTATACTTGTCCATATCCCAATGTGCATGTTGTTCCAGGTTCATTAATTGTCACCCAGTATTTGACAAAAGGTCCAAGATTCTTATAAACAACTCTGGCATAATCTCCAAAATAATCAGCAATCTGGGGGTTGAGCCACCCTCCTAAATCTTCCAGGTGCTGTGGCAAGTCCCAGTGGTAGAGAGTCACTACTGGTTCGATATTGTTGGCGCGCAATTCCTTTAAACGAAATGTTATCTCAGTTCAAATAAGTAATTTTTGCGCACTCACATCAATGAGGCTGAGGTAATAATCAACTCCAGCTTGGTTGTATGTATTTGGGGTTCCATCTGTAAAGATTCTCGACCAGGAAATGGAAAAACGATAGATTTGGACTCCCAGGTCTTTCAAAATAGCCACATCTTCCTTGTACTTGTGGTAGGAGTCAGAGGCAATGTCTCCGTTAGAGTCATTTTGAATATTTCCTAAAATAATACTAACGCTTAATTAAGTTAAAGATCAAATGAGAAAAAATAATAAATTATTTGTTTTTATAGCCTAGAAGTCAACTTAAGTTTATATTCGGATTTCTTGAGTTTGATCGTCTTTGATGTTGATGTTAGGCATCAATTGAATATGTTTTTACACATACTCACTGAACTGCCCGACCTTTCTTTAAATGACTACAGAAGCTCAGAATGTTTTTTGCGTCGACGAACTTTCAGGCAATTCAAGAGATTAAAATTAGAAAATACAAAAAAGATATAATATTGAACATTCAAAAAGAGGTTGCTGTTGCAGCACTGTACCGCAAAGTACATTTACACTCATAAGGCATTACCTGGAATATGAGAAAAAGTATCCCATATACTGGGACCTCTACCGCCCTCATTGTATCCGCCTTCGATCTGATAAGAAGCACCAGCTGTTCCAAATCTAAAGCTTTCTGGAAATACTTTCTGCGCTAAAGCTCTGGAAAGTAGACAACATTTTTAGCTTTTTTAATTTGTAGGCCCTTCTGCTGACCGTGGTAGCAGTTAAATATTTTAAATCGTGCTGTTCTTTACAAATGTGTTTGCATTTTTCAGAACATCTCATAATGTGCAAACATTCTGTACATATTTGTGTGATGTAGAGTTTAAGCAAGCGTGGTTATTTACGTTACAATTGACGAACGAGCATTATTACAATTACAAGTGCGGAATATTGAACAAGTACTTGTCCTGTTTTCAATGCTACATTTATTGGTTGCTTTTGAAGATAAAATCGATTGTGGGAATAAAAAATTGTTTTTTATTCCCACAATTTTAGATAACATTGGTGTGCTTGAAATACTTGAAGAGCTTTCAACAGCTCTATTATATAACTTATTTAAATGTTGAGCGAATATACAAGGTGAGCAATTGAACATTGTGTGCCAAATGTCGGGCTTTATCTAAGTCTGTCAATTTAAAAGGTATTTCTTCTTTCGAATGATTTCTATGCATTTCAATTTATACATCAAAATTCGTTAATCCCGGAATTTCCAAAACCAAAAGCTGGATAAAGGGGGATAAAATATATGATTTTGAAGCTAAATCAGCAACTCCGAAAAGTGATTTTTTCCTAAATTCATGTTCATAAATAATTTGCTTTCGCTTTTCCGTGAACAACAGAAGGTTGAGGTAAAGTGTTCTATCTGTACGCACTAAAGTCGGTTAGTTATACAATAAACAAATTTAAAAAGAAAAATCTAAGTGGGTGGAAATTTAAATCTCTCAGGAAAATGTTTCAACCTCTTGATAATAATAGGACAGTTACAAATGATGACAAAATAAAAAACATTCGGAAAAATCTTCATGGTATTTATAACTTCAAATGTAGCAGATATATATATTTTTTTCGAATACAGATAATTTCCAAAGTTTTCGTTAATTTTTAAAATACTTTTAGCCGAGTGTTTCCCAAACCGAGTTTCTGAGTTTTTCGGGTTTTGCTTTTTGTAGTAGAATTCTAATAAATTATTAGCAATTCCGCATAATGTTCACATATCTTGTGTTCACAAACCTTTTAGCAACAAAATGATTTTCTGAACAAACACAAGATCCAAAAGAACATTAAATTCGTTAAGTTAAGTTACTCGATTTTGCCAGAAATTTAGTATAGTTTCGCACGATACGACATTGAAAAATACCTCAAGAAGTTAATTTTACCAACAGAAAATTGCTATCGTTTACATAATTTTTCAAATATTCAAGATTCTTTGAGAAAATATCTAAAAAAACGTTTAGTAGTAGATATCATCAGCCGTTATAATGACTAGGGAATAGTTTTCCTAAGGCGTAAGAAGAATGCAAAAAATGTAAATATGCAAATTGTTTATTATTTGTTATTTGATAAGCAAGTAAATAATATTTAAATTTGTTATCAAGATTGACTGTATAACAATTTATATATTAAACCATGCAACTTACCCATTGAGAGTAAGTAGCAAACAGGTTACAATGGCAGCATTCATTTTAATTCCTACTCAACTACCGCGCAATTGTTTATTAAATGAATAATGCTAACATGAAAATGTATTCATAAGACGTTATATTTTATCAATTATTAAATAATTTTGAGTGGTTTTTTCATTGATTTTCAACTTGAGATACAATCATTCAGTTTACGTGAGCATTTAATTACTTAATGAGGTAGAAAATAAACCACCAGATTGCGCCGTTCAGCTTCAAAACTCCTAAATTAGTTAATTATTTCTTCTAAAAGTCAAGATCAAAATTAGACAAAAATGGGAGGAATAAATCAAACTGAAAAAATCAAAAGTCCATTAATCTTGCAAATTTATTGCGTGTGTGCTTCAACCTTACAAAGTATATTATGTAATCGCTGTTCACCTTGAAATTCCACTTGATATTGAATTAAAACTTCAAAATCAATATTGAAAAGGGTGACGGAGCAGATTTTGAATAGCATTCAACTTTTTCCTTGATTGAAAAGTTCTGCCAAGCTAATAATTGAATTTATTTATCGACCGTTTAATTTTCTATGGGTAATTGCCCAAAAGCTTGTAGATTTTCAATTGAAAATGTGGCCTAATTTATTATTCATTGACCCAAATATTAGCAAATCAGCTGAAAGCAGTTAATTTTCAGCTCAATTTTCATTGCGTGAACTGATAATAAAAACAAGTCGAAAGGAAATGATTGAAACTGAAACAAACATTGTGGGATAAAAAAAACATCGTGAATTGCATGGAAGACTTTTATTGGGCAATTTCGCTGTACTGTTTAGTCAACAATGGCTCTGGCTTCAACTACGCGCTTGTACCATTCAGCCGAAGCTTTGTAAGTCCTGGTTCTCTCTGGACTTTCAAAGTCTACTTGAACGATTCCAAATCTTTGCCTGAAAATATATTTCGTTATAATGGAATTTCACAAAAAAAATTATTATTACGTGTATCCTTCCGCCCATTCGAAGTTATCTAACAAACTCCACAGTGTGTATCCGGTTACGTTAATTCCATCATCCAGGATGGCATCTAAGATGTTGCTCAAATAGCCCTGAATGACCAAGTCCATAATTTTCAAACAAATTCTCACTTGCTCATGAAACTTACGCTGAGATATTCGATTCTGGATTGATCGTCCAACTCTCCTGGAAGCGTAGACCATCCATTTTCAGTGATAATGAACTCTCCTGGATTGTATTTCTTGTCGATGTAGTTGAGTAGATGTCTAACTCCTGGTGGGTCGGAGGTTAGCCATGAAGACGCACTTGTGGGCCATGAGGGGTCTCCGGAAGTAATCGTTCCTAAAAAATACAATTTAATTTTCCTCCTGGTGCAACTCCAATTTGAAAGTGGATATATTTTCTACCTTGGTCCAGCCAGATTGATGGAGTGCTAATTTCCCAATCCTCAGAATACTCAGCAATTGCACTGGTATAACTGTAAATATTAAAAATTAGGTTGCTATAATATGTTCCGATGTAGTCCGGCTTTACATATTTAAAGCAAAATAGTCAAAAGTTCCGTTGATGTAGTCAATTTCTTCCTGGGTGAATTCCGGCAACCTAGAGAATGAGTAGCCTTCTAGTTCGCTTCTAGCGGCTACTCTATCGATGACTACTTGGGGCCAGTTACCCTTGAAGACTGCGTTTGCATACAAACCGGCCTGTAATTAACACACTTGATTGAAAATGGCGAAATTACAGATTGTATAGTTGTGTAAAATCCGGAACTGAGCAATCAAAGTTTTTTAATGTGGTCGAAGATACTAGATATCATATAGCTAAATATGAACCCTGGATGACCACTTCGTTTGGACGAGCTTTTTCAAAGGGTACACATAACAATAGAGCAAATAAAAATGGTACATAATTTCTTATAGGTACACTTCATCACTTACATTAAATTCAAAACTTCTCTCAGCTGCTTCCTGGTCTAGAAGACTGTCGCTGTCCTTAGGGTAGTAATAAGAAGCGGCACTGTTGATGGTTACTTTTCCTGCCAAATAAAACGCATTCTTTAAAACTGCAAACACATAAATCCAATCGACGTTTACCTCCTTGCTCAGCCTTGAACTCCTCATCGTAGATTCTGTAGGCTTTGGCGTGAGCCTTAAGATGATTGTAGGCGCATGTATAGATTCCATCTCCGATCAAGCTCTTTCCTGGTGCGTGAATGCCCTGATTTACTTGCATATTAACTACAATTCTTTGTTTAATTATTGCTTCTAAAACTTCACCTGTCCGTATCCTAAAGAGCAAGTTGATCCTGGTTCGTTGAGGGTGACCCAGTATTTCACATAAGGTCCAAGAGTCCTGTAGATTACTCGGGCATATTCGCCAAAATAGTCGGCTATTTGAGGGTTGAGCCAACCGCCAAGGTCTTCCAGGTATTGAGGCAAATCCCAGTGGTAGAGGGTAACAACCGGTTCTATTCCGTTTTCACGCAATTCCTGTATGGGAAAAACTCCTTAAATATAACTAGCCAAAATCATATCGGGCAACTCACATCAATCAGACTGAGGTAGTAATCAACTCCAGCTTGATTGAATGTGTTCGGAGTTCCATTGGCAAAGATTCTGGACCAGGAAATGGAGAAACGGTAGAGTTGCACTCCCAAGTCCTTCAATATGGCTACATCTTCCCTGTATTTGTGGTAGGAATCGGAAGCGACATCACCGTTGGAATTATTTTTTATGTTTCCTAATAGTAACTTCATTTTAGTTTTTTTCCTTTTTCTGTTTTGTTTTTTGTTTTTGTTCAAAATTATGAAGTCCAACTTTATAACGCGAAGATGAGAGAATTACAAGGTTTTAAATTGCTTCTTCTCAATTAATTCATTGTTAATTCCAAATCAAATTCATTCCTGGGTTCAGTCATTTATTGTCTCTATTTATCAATCAAAATACGTTTCGGTTTATTTCAACGTCGCGTCAACCTATATTAAATATTGCAAAAAAAATATTTCGTAAATATCTGATTTAAATGTGAAATATATATTTTTAAATAATATTTCTTAAATATCTGATTTAAATGTCAAAGAAATATTGTTATAATATTCAAGAATCTGTCGCTTCAACCTATATTAAATATTGCGAAAAAATATTACTGTAATATTTGTGTGCTATCTGGGTGCAATTTTTACGGTTTAAATAAATACATTTATTTATTTTTGTATTTTAAAAACATGTAGACATTTTTGAAAAAAAAATCAGAAGATGTGTATGCAACATTTAAAGAAGTGTGATCTTCCACACAGAATTATCAAAAACGATTAGTTGATTAAACTGTTTCACGGTAAGGAACTGAATGTATTTTTGCTTTGCGGGCGCACCGCAAATTTTTATGTTTTGCTTCGAAACTGGACAAATACCGTGATTATTGTAATCCAATCCTTGGAATTAAATCAAAAACACAAGTTCGTTTTTAAGTGGCTGCTCACATACCATAACATCGCATTAGTTAAAAAAATATTAAAATCACAAGCAGATTGATGATGTTAATTGTTGAGTGTTTTAGGAACATTTATTTAAAAATATGGGACAAAGAACAACAGCTACGTTTTCATAGTTATATCCTGAATTTTTGGGGAAATCAACTCTTAAACCGGGTTTAGGTCGCTATAAGAATTGGTATAATTAAAGCGTCGTCAAATAGATGCTACAACAACAGGAAGGACTGCGGTTTCAATTTACCAGTTTTCTGAGACAGTAGGAAAAATTTAATCTCATAGCAAAAATAAAAATCCTTGTAATGAATAGAGTGGAACTCCTGCAACCTCAAGCCCCTTCACCCAAATTTCCCCAGCTCAATCATTTAAATGTGATCAAATGTTAGTAAATCACGAAATGACAAAGTGCTAATCCAAAAACAAAACATTTAGAATATTTAAGGCAACATTTTTGATCATTACGACAAGGAAAACAATGAAGAATGCAAAGTTATGCAGCAAAAAACATAAAAAACATGTTGAATGTTTAAACTTAAACACCGTTTGCAACTCCCAAATTAGAGCGTCCGAAGCATTTTTCTAGAAACTAGCGAAGAAACAACAAAATTATCTACTGCCTTAAAACTTACCTGGGATATGGGAGAAAGTATCCCATATACTCGGCCCCCTACCATCTTCATTGTATCCTCCTTCGATTTGATAGGAAGCCCCAGCGGTTCCGAATCTGAAAGTTTCCGGGAACTTCCTCTGGGATAGCGCTCTATAGAATAAATGTGTTGTAATGTACGAATGCCAATTTTTTTACATAGAACGTGTCCCAAAACATTCTCATTCGATTAACTCATTTCATCATAATAGAAGTGCTCTAAATAGTTTAAATCTCAATAACTGTAAGCAATTGGACATTCTGTTTTTTTCAGACCATTTCCCTGGTATATATATATATATATATATATAGAACTACATAATTTTAAATTGGTTTCTGAAAATCGTAGAATCCTGCACGCAACTGACTTCTCAAAAATTTCATTCCAGGTTTAAACATATCAGCGAGTTTAATTTCAAAGAATAACCCCGCTTGATACGGGAAGGATTATCTTAAATTTCGCTTAACTTACCCGGAAAAAGCTAAAGCAAAGCAAATTATAGGAAAGGCCTTCATTGCCATGCCATGCAAATACACTACTAAAGTTGGACATATGATTAAACCATTTTAAGTAGCGCGGAATTCTCAATAATCTCAGGGTTTTCTCAAGTCTTTTGCTAATGGCTTTATATAACTTATATAGAAATAACAATTATCCAGTTGTTATTTAGTAGATACTTGAAAGAGCTGATATTACGTATTTCTTTTCTTCAAAGTGATAATTTCTCGATTACCTACCTGAACACAATTCGAGTGGAGCCAGTTGAGAATCTAATATAAATACACGTATGTGGATGGGATTTCCGCATTAAAAATTTAGTATAAAACCTGCGTCGCTTGTACTTTAGCAATTCAAATATTCATAAAAATTATGATTTT